TATTAGGGGGAAATAAAGTATATTTTGTGTTCACAAGTGAACTCTGATTGCCATCTCAAATTTAATTTTTCCTTTTCCTCTACCCCGGCCTCTCTGTTTTTCTTTCTTTCCTTTTTTTTTCAGGTTTTAAATCATTCAAGTCTCACTGCTCCTGAGCAAAAAGCTTTTTCAGAGATTCCTTTTGTGTTTGAAACCTTTTATTGAGAGAGCAAGGAAGTGGTGCCGTTGGGAAACGCAGACCAGAGTTTGGACAGGGTTTGGAGCCGCTGGAACTGATCTTCCTGGTGGCCGGGACTATGCCCCTGGCTATCCCAGCTCCAGGAGCGGCTAGGAGCTGCTGGTTAGGTGGATAGTATTTATCAGCTTCAGTTAGCACTGTTGTTTGTTTTTGTCTTACTTTATTTGAACTTTTCTCTGGTCATTTAAAGTTCCCAATCTTATCTGACTCTTTAAACATTTACATTCTTGGGTCATAAGGCTGCTTTTTACACTGTCATGTGAACTTATTTTTGAGTGTGTTGGTTTGCTTCCTCCTATGAGACCACGGGGAGCATGTCACATTTTCAACTTGGGCAAATTACCCACTTGCAGGCTTGTCAGAGTCTGAGGAGAGAATGAGCACAGACATGGAACCAGTCTCTGAGGATTGCTGTGCAGCAGACCAGTCAGCTGCCCCCCTACCCCCACTGCTCCTTGAAACCCCAGACATAGGTGTCACCGCGTCTGCCCAGCCGAGTGTGGTCCCTCGCTCCCTACCTCTTCAGATCTTTTCCTAAAACCTGAGTCTTATCTTGTCATTCCCTTTCTGGAAAGTTTGGAGTTGGTACACTGCTGCTTCTGAAACGGGACATATGCTCCTTGGCGTGGGCACTGTCTCTCCTGTTTTTGTCACGCGACTCTTCTCACCTGTGACCACCAGAGCATGTCATTTGCATGGCGTTTGACACCTTGTTCATGATTCTGTCAGTGTCACACTGGGCAGATCTCATTAGATTAGCATGCACCTTGATTCATTGTGACCTCATTTCACCTTGATGACCTCTGGAAGACTTTATTTCTAGACAGCTCAGATTCACAAGTATAGGAATTCAGCCTTGATCATACCAGTTCCCCAGATGAATGTAGCCATGATATGCCGCAGACAAACACTAATAAAAAACTAAAAAAGAATCCAAGTGTGACCTTGCCTTTTAGGTTGATACCACTTAACTCATAACACATGGTTATATGTATTTTAAAGGAAATGCTGTTTTTTGTATCTCAGATATTTGAGCTATTGTTTGCCACCTTCCAGGGGAGTAATTCAGACTTTGGCTATTTGCTTGATGCTCTTGACAACTAGCTCCAAGCATAAGGCCTAGTTTCAGTTCTTACCAGGGGTGTTTTAGCATCACAGAATTTTAAAACCCAGGAGGGTTTGTATATTTTGTTTAAAGTCTTACAGTAAGGAAAGGCACACCATACTGTTTCCTAGTGTCTGACATCAGTGAGTAGACAGGTAATGTTTTGAGCCCTGACACCAGGTGTGGTATATTCTCTTTTGGCTCTCAGCAAAAGCAGAGAAATGAGGAGGTTCTCTGTGGAATATATTTGCCTGAAATGCCAAGGTATTTTAAGGCAAAACCACAGCTCATTTTGTCATGGGGAGTCAGCTGCAGCTAAAGCCCTGCAAGCCTTGGTCGCACTGTAACCAGTGGTGAATGTGAGTCAGAACAGATGTGGCGTGTGGCTGTTAGCAGTTCACGCTCTATGCAGCAAGTGTGGATGGAAAAGAACTTGCAGTGTTCTAGGAATTTCTCTGGATTATCTCCCTTGGTCCTCACGATGGGCCTGAAAAAGTTGCTGGGGAGAATTTCCTAAGACTGTGAAACCAGGGGTGAGCAGGCCGAGAGGTGGCCCAAGGTCTGTCCCGTTCAGTACTCACTGCCTTGGGTCCTTCCCAGCCAGCTGTGTCCCGCTGCCAGTTGTCCAAGATGGTGAATGTGCGAATGATCAGTAGGCTTCAAACTAATGGTGATACTTGCATGGGAGAAAAGAGTTTTCTCCATATTTTATAAAATACTTCCTAGATATTTTGGCTAAAAAATGGAACAACCTGACATACATACTCTTCCCTTCCTGTATCTTTTATTATATCTTCTTTTATTTGGAAAAAATGGAACAGTTAATGAAATGTTATGATCATTATTAAACTGAACTCTTACAGGCTGTTTTCAGTTTTGTATTTGAGTAGTGTTGTTTCCTACAATGATTGAATAACTTGCTTTGTAAATTATACTGCTGTTTTGTTAAAATGTAATTACTGGGGCAAAATGGATTGGACAAGAGTATGAAGCCATTACCTGCAGATGCTTGTCGGCTTTCACTTGCAGCAGCATTGCCTGCCTGCGGTTTTGTTTTGATGCTGGGGGTTTTGCACGTGCTAGAAAGGCACTCCAGCCCATGCAATGGATGTTTTCTTATTTCTTGAGAATTGAATGGTACTGGAAATTGGGGATTGAAGCCAAGGCCTTCACAATGAGCTATATTCCCAGCCTTTTTTTTTTTTTTTTTTTTTTGTCTTTTTCCTTTTTATCGGTACCAGGGATCGAACTCACAACTGCCTGCTTGCAAGGCAGGCGCTTATGCCGCTGAGCTAAATCCCCAGCCCCTTCCCAGCCTTTTAAAAATGTTTTGAGACAGGATTTTGCTAAGTTGCCTGGGTTGAGTTCCAACTTGTAATCCTCATGCCTCAGCCTCCTAAAGTGCTGGGATACAGACATGTGCCGCCATGCCTGATTCATACTGTGTTCTAATAAATACTTTCAGAGCGTGTTTTAATGAGCTCATGTAACTTTTAAATTTAGTAGTTTGGGTCATAGTCACCAGACATTTTTGTCCAGGAATAGTGCTTACTCAGGAGCAGCTGGTTTCAAGCACCAGCCCAAATCCGTCTCGTTGCACTGCACACCTCGCTCGCCTCTGCACTTACTTCACTGTAGGCAGGCACTTACCTCGTGCAGGCAGGAGTCGCCATAGGCGCCACCAGGGTTGCCATTTCCGAGCTGAGCCCCTGGATCCTGGGGCTAGGCTCACAGCTGAGCTGGTCATATGGCTGTGCTTCACCAGCCACACCTGGATCCTGGGCCAGGCCCAGAATGTCACCTTGCTGTCCTCAGAATGAGGAGGACAGGACCTAGGCATAACTTTGAGTACTGTGGTCGAGATGCAACTAGAACTTCATATTTTTTGCTGTTGGGATTTAAGAAAATAAATCTGCTACTTAGACGAACATGTTCAGTATGATTGAAAAAGAAAGGACCAAAAATGCGTAATTCACAGCTGGATACTTCACGCTGCGGAGTCCTGAGCTCTCGTGCATGTGACACAGTCCACACAGCAGCTCTGGGGTCAGCCGTGCTCTGCTCCTGCTTGTGCCGAGTGTGTGGAGTTGAGTTGCTGTGTCTACCTTCAGTTATAGTCTCCTACTTTCCCAGTTTGCCCATCCGTCAGTCCATGTCCCCTGCCCCTTCAGAGTCCTCCTCACCCCTTTCCATCCATCTGTCTCAGCTGCTGGCACCGCCCCCTCAGCTGCCGGTTCTGACCCTACCCCATGCCTCTGTACCTCCTGTGCTGACCCATTACTAGCTCCCTGGCCTTTGGAGGAAGAGCTGCACCTTTATTACCCATTCTTTTTGGCCTTCCTGCTTCTAATGTTACTCTCACCCCCAGTTTCCTTAAGGCAGCCAGACTGAACTTTCAAAGGTTTAAATCTGATCTTATCAGCCACTTGTTTTCCTTGGCTTGCAGCACTGTCCTACCTTGCCTGCCCTGCTGTCAGGCTCACTCTCTTTTCTTCTCTTTTCTTCTCTTTTCTTTTCTTCTCTTCTCTTCTCTTCTCTTCTCTTCTCTTCTCTTCTCTTCTCTTCTCTTCTCTTCTCTTCTCTTCTCTTCTCTTGTTTTCTTTCCCTGCTGCTGCAGTCTTACCCCTTGCACATCCCTTCCTCTTCCCAGTGTAGTCCTTACTCACTTTGTCTCCTTTTACTTCTTCAGATTTCTGTTTAAATGTCACTTTCAGTCCTTAGGGGTTGTCCTGCCTCTCATTCTCACTCTGTACATATGGAAATCAGAAATTCTTTTATAGCCTTTAGTTTTCCTTTTTACACTTTAACAATTTGTAGTTGCACATTGAAGTGCGATTATTTACCTCCCATCCCTGTCTAGACCGTGCCCTCTCGGAGGGCCAGGCCCATGTATCTGGATAATTACTGGCGCCCCATGAGGACTCGGGAACTGGGAGCACTATGTGTTGGTTCATAACTGAATGCTCACTTTCCTCATGGTTCTCTCCCTCAGATGCCATTTGTTACCAATAAGCTCCTGTTTCTTCCCAGCAGCTTTGTGCCTATAGCTTGTGGTTTGCTTAAGAATGAGCTATGGAAATAAAGTATTGAAACTTTGTTGAAGAGGAAAAAAAAAAAAAAAAAAGAATGAGCTATGGTCTCCTTGTTGCCAGCTGTTATTGTCAGAAGCAGTTGCGATGGTGCACGGTGATGCCCTTGGGCTTTGATGCTTTCATATCCGAGCAGATATTTCAGAAAAGAGAATTCATTTTGGGGTGTTGGCCTTGAGATATGGCCCTTGTGGGTGACAGAGGGCAGCTGCAGGCCCCACTGACCTGCTCCAGGCGGCCCTGCCCCACGACACAGGCTTGAGCCCTCCTTTGCCCTTGGGTGCCATCCCCAGAGCTCAGGCACCCCGCTCACCATCCCTGCATGTCTTTACCCTTTCCAGCTGTCAACGGTGCCCAAACTGGTTTTGGGAGGAGAAGCTTATTCCTGGAAGCAGTCTCAGGGAACTTGTACCAGAGGCAGACTGCTGCCTCGAGGCTGAGGACGTTGCTGCCTGTGCACACTGCTGCCTGCTGTTGTGCTCAGCTCGTTGGCCAGAGCACGAGTACCCATGAATGCACCAAGTATCGTAGATAACCAAACTTGTCTCTCCCTTTTTAAAACCTGCAGTTGGTCATGTTCGGAGATTGACCTGAATGAGATTCGCCTCATAGTTTACCAGGACTGCGAGAGGAGGGGCAGACAAGTGTTGTTTGATTCTAAAGCTGTTCAGAAGATTGAAGAGGTAGCTGCGCAGGTATGGCATGCTGATTTGCTTTTTCCATTTGTCCTTTTAACCACCTCTTGCTCTTCTAGCCACCATCTCTGCAAACCTCTCCTTGAGCCACAGTAGAGGGTCATTAATGGTTCAGGAAGAAGTAAGCCAGCCCCTCACCCCCACAGGTACATGTGTGCCCATTAACAAAGGAGGAGTGATGGTGAGTGATTGGGACAGGGGTTAGCAGTGGGCTGTGCATATTACCTGAGGGGAACTTGCTGCTAAGTGGCCATCTAGTAGGAGTTTGATGCCAAATGTGTACGCCAATAGATAAGGAAACAGCTCTCAAATTCATAAAGCCACTCAATTGTTAACCTAAAGGGAAGTTAATGTGTTATTTTGTCCAGAGTTTCTCATAGATACTCGAAGGCATTATATAGCATCACCTAAAGAGTGTTCCACACCGTCAGCTTGACGGTGCTGATAGAAATTGTCCTCTTGGTGGGTGTCTTCTCTGCACTGTCTGACCAAGGATGCATTTATTCTTGTCCCTTGGTGGGGGTGGGGAGCATGGGACTGTGAATGTGCAGAGGGGAGAAAGTAGTTCGGGGTACCTTTGAGCCAGGACAGGAGAGGCAAAATAACATGTCTAAGAGGAGAGGTGTCTCCCTGGGGATCGGCCTGGATGGCTCCTAAACTGTTAGCTTAGACCTTTCCCTCTTTTTTTTTTTTAACTTTTTTTTTTGTCTTTTTCCTTTTTTATCAGTACCAGGGATCGAACTCATGACTGCCTGCTTGCAAGGCAGGCGCTTATGCCACTGAGCTAAATCCCCAGCCCTCTTTTTTTTTTTTTAAAGACTAGTCAAGTACAGTAGTGAGAAGGGGGGAAAGAGTAGAACAAGGAGTTCAATCTGTACTGACTGTGAACAATCAATTGAGATAACACTACCTTCAGACCAGCTGACCTTTTCCTCTTTTTAGAGTCTGTTCAGATGCTTGTGAGTTGAACATACCCACTTGTAGGCATTCTTTCCGTGCCATTCAGGGTCATTTCTGCAGGAAGGAAGTGTGCACTGGAGGCAGTGGAGCTGGGTGGCTGCCAGCGCTGCATGGTGGACCCTGCCAGTTAGCTAATCATTACAGCAGTTGTCGGGCTCATTGGGTCCGTAGAGGAGAGAGCTGGGGAGCCTCTCTTGCAACTCGCCGTGGACTACAGAACACAGGACCCGGCACTGCTACCAGTCCGTGTCCGCTCAGGATGCTGGGTGTCATGCTGCTGGTGAGATAGGCAAGACTTCCTGTGGTCCGAGGCCCTCTGAGGGGTAATACTTCTGCTTAAGTGGAATGAAGTAGCAGCTGGATCTGGAGAGGGTGTTGAAGGGATGCTCTGTGCCCAGGATTAACAGTGGGCTTTGAACTCTGAAGCCATCCTCACTAGAGTGACTGCTGTGGGTCAGCACATTTCCCGTGTTCTTACATTCTTTCCTGTTTCTAGCCCTTGCCTCAGGCAAGCGGTGCCTAGAGGCTCTTGAGTAGAGCGCCAGTGTGAGTGCCACACCAAAGGATAGATGAGCTGCAATCGTTTCATAGTTTTCCAGGCAAAAGCTGCACAAGGAAGAAAGAAGAGAGGAGGCAGGGAAGATTGAGAATAGAAAGCATATCTCACAGAAACTGCAGGGTGCAGCTGCCAGGAATGATAATTCTGGTGGAGGATGCTGGGGTGGAAAGCCATAAGATTTCTCTCCTTATACTTGCGTCTTGCTGTGATAAAGCTTAGCTGAGAATGCCTTCAGACAGTATGTAGTACCCCCATCCTCCATTCTCTCAAACCTTTAACAGAGACTGCAGTTGTATCATATGCTCGCTAAGTTCCAGCAGCTCCTGTTTCAGGGCTTGGGCTTCACCTTTCAGAATCCCAGCCTCGTGATTTCCTTCCTTTTGCAGTTACAGAAGTCTTGGAAGAGGTGTGTCCTTAAAAACACAAACTCAGTCTGTCCAAGTTAACAGCTTTGCTTTCTGATTTCCCTTAGCTTGGTAAACATTTAAATTTGAGTATCATCTTTCTCCTTTTCAGTTTCATAAATTATGACTGCATATAGGACGGAATAACCAAATAGATCAGTCCTCATTGATAAGTTCACAATATAAATTTAAGTATAAATACTAATAAGTTAAATTATGAGGCAAATGAAGCCTTAATATATTACCCATCATTTTTTGTCTAACACCCTTCAGCATTCCCCCTTTCCAAATAATGTAGACACTCAGGAATGGTGTCTTCATCATCATTGTAAGAAAAAAATGTGAAAAGCTTTTGGTTTCTAATACAGTGCACACGAAAGTGGTTTGGCAAAGGAGGTCCTGGTGCAGAGTGCACTGATGCAGCCTGCATGCTTAGTAACCCTTTCCCATGCCTGCCTCTCTCAATCCAGAAAACAGAGGATGTGCCCAGCAGAGGGGCAGCCAGGAGCTGTCCAGGAAGCAGCAGCGGGGGTGGCAGCATCTCCACCAGAAGTTCCGGGGGATCTTCACACCACGGGAAGGAACAGCTGCCAAAGTACCAGGTAAAGCACACCTTCCTTGCCTCTGAGCCCCAGGGGTGGAGGTGAGGTCCTGGGACCACCTGCCATGGCTTGAAGGCTCTCTGAGGAGTGCAAGGACAAGTCTGCAGCCAGTGGTCCTGAATGCTTCGGGCTGGTGCTGTTTTGCTCTGAGGCTCTTTTCTCCTTGAAAACTAATCAGGCAGAGGTGATACATACAGCAACCTAAGTAAATGATCTTGACTCTTCTCCTTTCTCAGATCCAGAATACTAAGTGCTTATTTTCCAGGTTTTATTACATGAACACCCCAGGATTCTGCAAATGTTTAGGGACATTCCGAGAAACTAGAAATCAGAAGGGGATATATTTTTATACTTGGGGTGTGTGTGTATACTTGTGTGTGTGTGTGTGTGTGTGTGTGTGTGTGTGTGTGTGTGAGTAGAAGATGGGGATTAGGATTGTTCAGACACATTAACCAGATACGGGGGAAACAATTTATAAATATGCAATAGCAAAAAAGTAATTAATTGGGAAGTGTAAGTCAAAATTTTGTTTTACCCACATACAATCTTATTTGCTGTGTTGCTGGGAAAGCAAAACTAGTGGAGTAATCAGCAGTGTCATATACAGTGAGGGGGCCTAGTGCAGTGAGCTGGACACGTCCATTGGCTTTGCAGGAGGCTGGAGGTGGGTCTCTGCAACATAGATGGTCATGGAGGGCAAAGTCAGGCTGCAATGGTTAGAGCTCATAGGAGAGGGCGTCGGCAGCTTGTACCCTCCCCCCCAACCAGATGAACTCACAGATGCAGTGGAGAAGGGGTCATGAGAGACTGCTCAGAAGTTGGAATGGAAAAGTCTAATATTGGTATAACTTTTAGAGCAGTTAGACCATCTATTGTCTTTTGGACCCATACAAAACCCTGCCTGCATCAATTGGCCATTTTGTTAATCAGCACAGTTAATGTTGAAAACACTGAGCTGTGTTTCTTTTCAGGTTGTGTTGTTAGCACTAAGAAGAGTTACCCTTCTTCTTTCATAAGTTAATCCTTTTAAATTTTATAACTAGAGATGATAATCTTCGTTTTTCATAACAATGTTTAAGGTGAACTCTGCTAAAACACTTGGATCCTGTGTGAACATAATGTGTATAAAGAAGCCAAGAATGTTAGTATTATTTTGGAGGAAAAACTCAGATAGTCACCATCATGGATCATGCTTTAAGAAATCATTATAGCCAGCTGTGATGGCACACAAATGTAATCCTAGCACTCGGGAGGTTGAGGCAGGAGTATTGCCATGAGTTTGAGCTTGAGCTACAAAGTGAATTTAAGGCCAGCCTGAATTACACAGGATGACTCCATCTCAAAAAAGAAAATAGTAATCATTGTTTTGTTTTGTTTTTTGGGTACCAGGGATCAAACTCATGACCATGTGCTTGCAGAGCAGGCGCTTTTGCTGCTGAGCTAAATCCCTAGCCCATAATCATTGTTACTACTTACTGAACTAAAAAAGGACCCAGAGATTAATAAACATTACTTTCTGTTGATTGTACTTGGCGTGATTTCATGCACTCACTTGACTTTGGTTTCCTGCAAGTAGTACACAAGGCCAGCCTCGGACGTCAGCATGCTCGGGGAAATGATGTTCGGCTCAGTTGCCATGAGTTACAAAGGCTCCACCTTGAAGATACACTATATCCGGTAAGCGGGCCGCTTTTCCTCCTGGCTTGGAGAACCTCACTGTGGTTCTGACTCCTTACTGACCATGCCTGCCTCCCTTCTTCCAGCTCTCCTCCACAGCTGATGATTAGTAAAGTCTTCTCTGCTAGAATGGGCAGCTTCTGTGGAAGCACAAATAAGTAAGTGTGCGTGTCTGCATCCCCTTCCTCCTCTTCTGTGTGTGTGTTTCAGGGTAATTCTTCAGAGTCATGAGAAGTTCTAAAATTAACAAAGGGGACTTTAGCTGCAGGCATTGTCTAATAACAGCAGGGGGCAAAGGCCTTTGCTTTGTCAGCAGAGGGCTGCTGTCCTTATTTCCTCCATACCCCTCCCTCCATACCCAGGACATTCATTCCTGCTGTCAGCCACCTTTGCCAAGTGGGAGGGAACATGGTGGAGTTACCTGAAGGTGTCTCTGGTGCTCCCTAATATTTTATCTGACACCTTGTGTATTTGTTTCTATGGTTGGAGTGCATGGTGACGTCCCAGGCTGACTGCACCTGAGTGGCAGGGGGGTGGGCCACATTCACATTGGGGCCAGCAGCCGGCTTCCCTTTGTCCCTAACAGGTGTGGGAGCTGGGCCTCTTGGACTCGCACTTCCACAGGGATTCCGAAATGTCTCACTTAACTTCCATTTGCCACATTTAATGTTACACATTTTGAACTTCCAAATATTTCTTGTACTTGTTTGTTAATTTTGATAAATTTAAGCCGGGTGTGGTGGTGCACCCCTGTAATCCCAGCACTTGGTAGGCTGAGGCTGGAGGATCCTTACAAATTTGAGACCAGCCTGGGCTACAAAGTGAGCCCAAGGTCAGGCCAAACTGCACTGTGAGACCCTGTCTCAAAAGACAAAATTAAATAAAATAAAAACTTTGATAAACTTAAAGACTTAATGTATTTTAAGGGGCTTTCATCAACAACATATGAGGGCTTTTTTTGGTAATCCCAGGAAACTAAAATCATGCATCTCTGGTATTTGGGTACCATTGTATAAGTCTTTGCTTACCCTTCTAGAAAATAGTTTGAGTACTTAACATTGGACCATCGTGACATAAGCCAAGAGGAAAGTAGTATTTATTTCTTGTGAAAGTCTGTTTCAGATCCTTGGGATTGACCGAGTGTTTATCACACCGATCCCTTACAGTAAAATACTGAGCTTGAATTTAAGTAAAAATTATTTTGGTTTCCTTAAGCTATGTTTATTGGTATTCATTTTCTTGTTAACAAATACATTATTAAGATCTGCTTCACTCACATGTTTTATTAGTTAATTCTAACTCTTTAGAAGTTTTAAAATCAAACTTGTTGAGATTCATAATTTCTAATGTATCTTTCTCCTGAAAAAACTTGCTGAATTATTCATAGATGTTAATTAAGATTTAAAATTAATTTTGAGGGTGTATGTAAAACATTCTAAATGAATAGCAACATCTTGGGTGTCAGTTGCTAAAGCAAAATTTAAACATGAAGAACAGTATTCTGGGTGTCAGTCACTGAAGCAAAATTTAGAGTTTGGTGCTCCCTTACAGGATATGGAATTGTGAGCATTGCGGTTATTTTGTTGTAAGGGCTGGGTTGCATCCAAAACATTTTTATTTTCCCCCCACAAATTCCCTTGAAGTTGCTGCTTGAGTTCCCTTTGCTCAGTATGAGACTTTAATTGATTTGCTATTGAGTGACCATCAGCTGTCTGTGTTTGTTCGTCTAATAGAAAACACTATTATTGGCATCTTGATGTATTTCTCCTTTCTCTTCCCTCTTCCCTCCCTGTGGATTTAGCTTGCAGGACAGCTTTGAGTACATCAACCAAGAGCCTCACGTGGGAAAACCAAACACAAATCACAATGCTTTGGGTGCTTGTGCTGGAAGTAACCTAGGTAAAATCAGACATATGAGATTTTCCTCTCAGTACTGCTATTGTGGATGTGTTTTGCTTTTTTTGAGGTTCATGGTGTGTTGTTTGGGTTTGGTTTGACGTTCCCTTTAATCTGTTTATTTTTGTGTGTGTGTACTGTGTCTGGTCTTCGTGTGTCTGTCTAGGTCTGCTGCAGGCGTGCAGCAGCAAACTGCTGCTGGGGGTGGCTGAAGGAGGACCTCTCCGGCTCACCCGGAGCGCTTCTTTCTTCGCAGGTTTGTGTGGAATGCTGAGTGCAGTGTGACCCCACTCATGAGTAAATCCCTGTTTGTGCCTCTCTAGAAACCCAAGGGGCTATTGTGGTAGGAAATATTGATTTTAAAATGCAGCCAAATTCCTGGAGTTTGAAACTTCCACCCATGCACCTTTATTGTAAAGGCCTCTGCTGATGCCTCAGTGTCAGCCGGTGTGATCTGAAATGAGCCCTTCACGTTTCTAAGAGGATGATTATTTCTGATCTTCCTGGTCTCTTCTGCTGCTCTGCATTGTCTCCCTTTGTCATGGTGTTTGTTATCCATTTATTCACTTGCATCCTTATCTGCATGGAGCTCTAAGTCACTCTAATAAGAGCATGGAAGGTCTTTCTGTCTCTAACACACACATTCATTTAAACAGTTTAAATGCACTTTGGGGGTTCTTTATGGGCATAGTTGTCTTGATATCCTGGGTGTATATTCTGAGATTTAATGGCCTTGCCAGCTAAGGCCATTCAATGTCTGTTATGGTCTTGACATGATTAACAGGTGTGGGACTCTTCATTACCAGCATTTAAGAGTGGCAAATGGTTTTTTTTTTTTTTGGTACTGGGGATGGAACGCACAACCTCATTCTTGCCTGGCAGGTGCTTATGCCGCTGAGCTAAATCCCCAGCCAGCAAATGGTATTTTTCATTCTGTTCCCTTTGTAGCCTGCAATATGCTAAGTGCCATAGTTAACTCATTTCCTAATGGAACTGACACCCTCCCACCTGCTTAGAGTGAGGATAGCATTTGTGTGTACTCATTAAAACTGCAAAGATAAACATGCTTCCAAAGAGAGCTGCAGTGTAGTAATCAGGGCCGGAGCACAGGGCTTCCTGTGCACTGTGAAACCTCTTGGGCGACCTTTCATCTGCCTTCCAGCCCAGTTCAGTCTAGAGCTCCTACAAGTCTAAAGGCTTGCGAGTTTTCCAAAATTCATGGCAGCACATGGGTTTTCTAAGTACCTCCACAGTAATACTGTCATGGGTGTATATGGAAAAGTGGAGGGAGAAATATTTGAAAATGAACATGTTTCCTTTTTGCCTAGAGAGCAAGTTATAAACAGAAAAACAGTTTTTGATTTTATGAAATGATTTTCAAGTATTTTTGTTGCCAAAGTTTCTTAAAGTAATTTCTGAAACTAGCCAGAATTTTAAAAATATGATACTATTTAGATACTTCTAATAATGAGGAAAATGCCTTAAAATATCCACATGAGAATGTTCATTCGTTGTATTAACTGGATGAATGGTTTAGTGAGTAGGTTATTTTAGGAATTGAACCTCATTTAGAAAACTTCATGTGCCTCAGTGGAATAAAGAGAAACCAGGGGCTGGGGATTTAGCTCAGCGGCATAAGCACCTGCCTTGCAAGCAGGCAGTCGTGAGTTCGATCCCCGGTACTGATAAAAATGAAAAAAGACCAAAAAAAAAAAAAAAAAAAAAAAGAGAAACCATTGCTTGGTTCTTTTCTTTTTTTTTTTTTTTTTTCTTTTTAAGACAAGGTTTCCCTATGCAGTTCAGGCTGTTCTTGATCTTACTTCGTAGCCCAGGCTGGCCTTGAACTTGCAGTGATTCTCCTGCTTCAGTGCTGGGATTATAGACATGCACCACCAAGCCCAGCCTCTTGTTTTTTCTGTCTTTCATATATTTAATTTTGCTTTTTAATTAATCTGTACTGTAAGAAGGCAAATCATCAATTATAATAGCCTACTTTGAAATGTAAAAATCACTATATTTGTTTTAAATTTTCCTGTCTGTGGCGAGCCTAATCACATGCTTTCCTGTGCCTTTATTTTAGCTCACAGCACTCCTGTTGACATGCCAAGCCGAGGGCAGAACGAAGACAGGGACAGTGGCATTGCTCGATCAGGTATTTCCTTTTACCGGTTTAATAAAGTGAGCTGTAGTAGCACATAGTGTTTATCATTAACATGCATTCATTTTGGTATTTTCCTAACCCCTTCTGTGAGCATTCAGCAGTGCTGGATCCCATCGTCTCACTGTGTATTCTTGTCACTTGCAGTTCCTTTGTACCCACAGACAGGTAACAGGCAGGTGCATTGTGTGTGCTGAGTGACTGCTTCCATGTGTCACTGTCAGCTGAGCTCTGAGTTCACCTGGTCCATCTGTGGGTTTGGACTGAGGATCATGGGGTCCCGAGACTCAGCCCTGCCTGGGAGGCCCCTTTGATTCCATAGCGGGGCACAGGTCTCAAAGTTGCCCCACGTCTCCTGGGAGCAACTGAGCCTGGAGTGATGCTCAGTCCCAGCGGCCGCACTGGCTGGCAGGACGCTGCCAAGTGCGGGAGAGCTCTTGGCCTGCCTGTGAGCGACACAAGGTGTGCTATGCTCTCCTGGAGCCTGGCCCGCACTCCTCTCACAGCTTCTGTCCTGTGCAGCGTAGTTTTATGTATGTGTTTACCCCTTCTTGTTCTAGAAGAGAGTTAGAGAATTCGAGGGAACTGATACCAACACAAGCATGTGTAGGACGGAGCATGAATTTCCCTAAGTACCTTGAATTCACAGTGTAATTGGCATACATAGCTCATGTTGGACAGGTCAAAGTCTCACTTGATATCTGGAGTCTAACTCCTTACCCTGTAAGAAGCAGGACAGCTGCAGGGCAGGTTTGTGTTCAAGTGGGAAGCCTGTGGCTGCTGGGTCTGATATGACTGTGAGGAGGCCTTGGATGAAGACCTGATGGGAACAGCATGCTGCTTATGGGTGGGGACATTGAGTCTCGAGGCCAGAAGAAGCTCAGCAGTCTCTACTTTGAGTCTCCCAGCCTCTGCAGGGATGAGGGGTGGGAGCGCCCCCCTCTATCCTGCTGCCTTCCAAGACCGGCTGCCCACACCTGGTGGGAGCTGCTCTGCTGTCTCTGGCTCTGTGTGGAGACCCATGGGCTTTGGAGCTTGGCAGGGTGGAATGAGTGTGCTGTGTGTGCTCACATTGGCTGCCTCACTATGATTTCTTCTCCTTAGTATGCACTTTAAATCCTGGTAGGGCCAAGTCCCGGGTCTGAGATGGAGTGGGAGTTCTGCGTGGTAGAGTTTGCTGGCAGGAGAACTAGATGTCAAGGAATTACAGTTATTTTGAGTCATGGTTTGATTTTGTGACAAGGTCTCACTGTGTGGCTCATTCTGGTCTTAGACTCACTGTGTAGCTCAGGCTGGCCTCGGAACTGCGATCCTCCTTCCTCAGCTCCTGAGTGTTGGGATTCCAGGCGTGCACCACTGTACCTGGCCAGCCTGGTGATTTTTAACTTGTCTAGAGTTGAGGACAAAAGGGCTTTTAAATATAGATTTTATGATTCAGAACAGTTTTAGATTTACAGAGAAATCAGGAAGAGAAGAACAAGCCCCCAAACCCTCTCTAGTCTGCATTGCTGTTGACATCTTGATGTTAGAGGGTCCGTTGATACCAGTGGTAGTCATTGTTGACACTGATGCATCGCTGTCAGGTCGGGTCCACGATCCATTGTTCCCTTGGTTTTTGCTGACCACTTTCCCATTGTGGGACCACACCACTTCTCTCTAGTCCCATCAGGCTGCTTTAGTGTGGCATGTTCTCAGACTACATTTTTGGTAACTATGGTGGTCTGGGGAGCCTAGCGAGGTGTTTTATAGAATCTTGCACTATGGCATGGGCTTGGTGCTTTGCTTGTAGTTAGGCTGAGATTGTGGGCTGGGACGGGGCGGTCACAGAGGTGAAGGGTGCTTTCTTCATGTGGTGTCGTGTGCCCCTCGGGAGTGGCCTTGTTCAGCTGGCTGAGAGAGAGATGGTTGGTTTCTCTACTGGGTAGTGACACCTCACTCGTGTTCCCTGCTGTACACTTCAGAAAGGAGGCCCTGTGTTCTCAGTGATCGAGATTGCTCTGCGAAGGAGATGCGTGTCCCTTCCCTGCCCACTCGTTAGTCATCATGTCAGTGTGGATGCTGGGATATTTATTTTCATCCTGGGTTTTAGCCCATTGCTGTGCCCTTTGTTCCTGGGACCGCCCTGCTGTGGCGCTCTCACCTTCTGCATGGGCGGGGGTGGGGGGGCGCAGGGCGCAGAGCGTGGCTGGTGCTTGAGGGTTATTGGGGTGCCTGCTACCTAGTCCCAGGCTTGGCCCACTCTGCACCCACTCATGGAGTTCCTTGACAGGACTGAGTTGGGAAGGTGTGCAGGGATGCACATTCTTGTGGTATTCTTTCCTGGGAATTTTAAATGTGTTTCCTGTGTCAGACGTCTAAATCCACAGGATGATGTTCTATGAGGTTAACTAGGTGGCCACTCAGGGGACTGCGAGCAGGGTCTTGGGGGACAAGGGGCACTGCAGGGGTGGTGTAGTGACGCATGAGGACACTCTGGGGACTGGAGACTATGGCCTGGCCCAGCTCAGGGGAAGCACAAAGCCTGTTGGGGAAATAGAGCCAGATGCTTTGCTTTTCCTGTTCTAGCTAAACCCCCAGATTCTCCAGTTCTGATTAATCTGCTGTGTTGAGAAATAAGTGAGGTCAGAGGAGGTGGGTGAGCAGAGCTGCTGTTTGGCAGACCTGAGGTTCTGGGGTGATACTGGGCCTGCAGCCTTGTCACCTGAGCCCAGCCCAGCCTATGTGCTCCTCCTGTCAAAGAGCCGAGCCCCTGGCAAGAGAGAGGCTTTTCCTGTCCTCTGTGTGTCTGTGTTTCCTCTGTCCTTAACATGGTAGTATGATAAAACACAATAGGCACTTGTAAATAGTTTTAGTAAAGTGTTTTAAAATGAGGTTGGTAACATCTTCACTGTCAGGCAACATGCAGATGCAAGACCTCCGATGTTTGCTGTAAGTGTCGGGTCAAAGATGCCACATGCAGACGCCACACAGCTGAACATATTTGCTGGTTGTGTTATGGGTTTTCCAGATCTGGTGTTCTCTGACCACTGTCAAGAATTTACCTCTGTCGTGCCTGTTCCTTGAAGAACATCATAGTCATTCTGGTTTTATAGGAGCCACAGTCTACATTTATTTATTCCATGAGTATAAGATCATATATGCAAAATAAGTAATCACAGCAAAAAGCACACCTAGAGCCAGCAGTTGTTCTGGTTCTAGTATTGTGTGGTTGGAAGTGGAGGTCAGGAGACAGAATGCGCTATGGAGAAAATTTTGCCTCAAAATACAGTCAAGAGGCAAAAATATTTAAGTAACCTTCGTAATGTGGAATTAGCTATCAAGGTAACAATATAAAGGTGTGTTACACGGACCGTGTTATCAGAATCTGTAATCTATACTCTGATTCACAATTTATTCTGTGTTTGTAATGTGGGATCTGGCGATCCTTATTTTCTTCAGTATGTTTTCCTTTGTAAAGGGTGTTTTGTTTGAAGTACTTGGAACTCTTTCTAAAACAGAAATTATAGTCTCCCCCTGCTGGATATGACTGGTGGAACCTGGAGATAGATGTAGGTTACTTGGCATATATATGTTTATTTATTGCAGTGACATAACCTTTATTGCCCTAACCATTTTTAATTTGCTGCACAGTGGTACTAATACACCCCTAGTGTGCATTTTGTGACTACGCAGGCTTCATTTCCTTCAAGTGTCACATTTCCCCCTTGCAGCCTCCCTCAGCAGCCTTTTGATCACACCCTTCCCATCTCCAAGCGCCTCCACGTCCTCCTCCAGCAGCTACCAGCGCCGCTGGCTCCGGAGCCAGACCACGAGCTTGGAAAACGGCTTCGTTCCGCGGAGGTGAGTGGCAGCATCGCTTTTGTCGAGGCGGGCCGTGGTGGGGGCCCAGTATACTGTACACCCTGTCATCAGTGGCCTTGTCTTCACCTCAAAGCTGGAAGTTGAAGGAGAGAACAAATGAAAGCTTAGGACAAAACTGGTTTAGAAGGTTCTGGAAAATACTGGGTAGGTGTGCAGGTTTGAACTGGCTTTGGGTGTTAAATTTATTAAATGATATTCTCTCTTTGAACTGCAAACCTTCCAAGTGTGTTCCGATAAGTAATAAAAGAGTGGGGTAAATTTTTTCCCTTGTCTACCTGGTATTGATGGGGTATTTGAAGATAGATAACAAGTTCTCTATTCCTATTTTGGCCTATTATTAAAGAGATGTGAATGCAGTTATCATAGAGAAGACACCAACTATTTCCTGCCGTCATTTCAGTTGGTTTTGAATCTAATGTTGAATGAGATCCAGAGCACATTTGACATTATCCTGTAGCTTCCAAGCCCTTCTCATAGCCCAGACACTATGGAAAGTAACCATAACAATTTCCACGTTGTTGGTTGATTTAGTAAATTGGTTCCTCATCATCACACAGGGACCTGTGAAGATGTAGAAATAGCCCAGCCATATGCCTGTGCTCCAGTGTTCTGCCGACTAGAAGGGAAGGTGCCAGGCTGGGCATTTAGCTCAGTGGCACAGCACCTGCCTGGCAAGTGCAGGGTGCTGAGTGCGACTCCTAGTACCCTCCCACACCCTCATCCCTCACCCCCTGCCAGAGTAGAAGAGAGAGTGCTATTTGCAGTGAAGTGGTAGAAAGATGCTCTGTGGCAAGTGCCACAGACAAGCATGTGGTGCTCAGGGACTCAAAGGAGGGGAGCACAGTGGTGGCCATGGTATCTTTAGGGACCCTGTAGAAAGGACAGGAGGAGGTGCATGAGGCTGGCCAATCTCTGTTTCTCGCAGTCGCGGGAGCGAGTTATTGCTGCCTCGTTCACCATAGAGCTGCTGGGCTGGGTATGAGGCCAATGCCTGCTCTGCGGCACTCTAGATGTGTGCTGGAGCAAGTCCACCTGCACTCCAAGTGCTGCTTCCTCGCCTGCATTACAGCATGTGCAGTTCAGCCTCAGGTGTGGTTGGGATGGTTGAGAGAGGTGCAGCAAATCCTATGGTCAGCAGGACACAGGACTTGGTGAATAAACACTGGTCACTACAACTCCCTCACTGCCGTTACTGCTGCCATTGTCATTAATGCTGTGCAGCAGTCAGGGTCTCCACACGCTGCCGCAGCCTCTGGACCTGGAAAAGATGTATCTAAATGCTGCCTTTTAGAAGCTTGTTATGGTTTGTGTCTAGACGTCCCCCAAAGCCTCACAAGGTCTTAGGGTTTTCTCAGAGGTGGCAGAATCTGGAGTGTGTGATCGATAGGGAGTGCAATGCTGAGATGAAGGGTAGGTGATTGCGGGATCAGTCCACTAACTGGATTGGCACTGCCCTAATCCTGGTAGAGCAGATACAGTATAAGGGACAGAAAGAAGCTTGTTTTCCTCCTCTTGCTGCTTTGGCTGTCTTCCACCCCATGAATTGTTGCCTGTCTGCCATGCCACTCTGCCTTCCAGCCAGCTGATTATGAACTAAAACGTCCACAAACTGTGAGCTAAATAGACCTTTCCCCCTTTAACTTTGGGTGTCAGGTATTTTGTCTCAGCAATGAGAAAAGTAACTAAGCTCCTCACCGAGATGCATTTTCATTCCTTCAGATTTACATCTCAGGTTGAACGTAGTATTTTACCAACTCACTCCTCTGAAATTCTTTGGACTTGTTGGGACCTGGCGCTGGGAACTCAAGAGTTCCTTGCTGAGCCTGTGCCTGCAGGCGTCTGCACTCAGACTGCCCAGGGACAGTGTCAGGCTGGGTCAGTGCTGGGGAAGCCACTAGGCCCTCCTTCACAAAGCAAGGAAAACATCCTGACAGTGATAAAACACGGAGCTTTATCTTAAACATTACTTATCAACTGTAGTAGAGATAGCAGTGACATGGTAACAATACAGACTTATAGATTAAAAATATTGTTGGTGTCATAATTTCATTTAGTACAATGTACCTAATATGAGAGCTTTGTTGTAAGATTTTTCAGACTTTTGTCATTTGTTAGGTCATTAGAATTTATACTTGGAGAAGCATGGCTCTTTGTCAGTACTGAAAATGACAGTGCTTCTGGCAAATGCAAAATGATAAATAATTTTTACCATTTTTTTACATAGAGAAGAATCCGCTGGTTCGGTACCATGGGCTGTGACAATTTTGTGATGAATGTCTGATAAAGTTCAAAGTAGGAATTTTAGTCATTTCAGATCAAATGATTCTTGTAGAAATATTTTCTAAAATATTTAATTCCTCACAAATTTGTTTTGTATAAGTCTGAGTTGAGCCATGGACATAAAGTTATGTTTGTTGCTGGGCATGGTGGAAGTGAACAGTTTATGTGGACTCTTAGGAAAGGGCGGAGGGATGGATGGGCGGGTTGGCTGGCGGCTGGCCGAGTGCTCCTGGCAGGGTTGCTCCCCTCTGACCACCCCCCTCCCCGCTGTTGCTGCTGTCAGCCCTTTCCCTCAGGTGCTCTGGTGCCTGGCTTCCTGCAGACCCAGCTCAGGATCTCCCTTCGAGACCGTGGCCTGAGCCCACCCATGTGCAGGCTGCTGCTTCCTGCCTTGGGCTGTGTGTGTGAGTTAGGGTTTAGGCTTGTTCACAGGTGATGTCTTCAGAAATTCTCTCCAGCAGTCCCAGAATGCTGTACACGGCTCACATCCTTCCAGAGCAAGGTCACCTGCCTGGGCTTCTCAGTGCTGAGAACTGGGGGTGCAGGTGTTTTGAGCCCATCACCGTGCTCTGGAAGGTTTGTGCTTACATTTAAAGGAGGCTGCTATTGACTCCTCTCTTTGGGAGGTGCAGGAGTAAAAAAAACCAGTTTCTTATACTCAGAACATACAAGAGGGTATGAAAAATAGTAATCTTGGCTTTGAGAGGAAACTCCGGGAATTAAAAGCAGCCTTTGGGGAGTTGCGGTGGACAGGAAGAACCGTTGCGGTCTTTCATGCTGGTGTCAGGTTGGGTCCCACTGGGCAGTCAGCTTTGCTTGGGTAGTTGGAACCTGGGGACAAGGAGCCCTGAGTCTGCGCTCAGCAAGGCTGTGACCACCTGGCGGGGCCGGGAGAACATGGCGGACAGATAACAGCAACTACGGAGGCTCTCTGAAAGACTTGGCTCAGAAGTCAGGAAGGGTGCGGAGTAAGGAGACATAAGCCAGTGGAGATATGCTCTGCTGACTCAGGAACGAACTGGGCTGAGAGAAACCAACTTGGAATGCAGTCCTGGTGCTAGAACAGGAACAGAAAAGCCTCAGTGTGAAGGCTGGAGCCCGCGCCATTGGAAGCTGCGATTTGGGTTTCCCGCTGCGCGGCGTCTGCCTCTACGTCAGCTCAGCAAGGAGAGAGACGCGTGGAAGCTCTGAGAACGGGAATCTGCGAACGGAGTCAAAAACAGGACGGGCAGGGAGGCGTGCACTGACCCGTGGTGAGGTGAGTGAGAGAAACTGACACTCTACCACAGTTTGACTCCAGCGGAGGACATTCTGGGCCCGGGCAGTCCTGCGGGAGCATGGCTCGGTGATGACTTCAGCCACACATCCCCCACTCAGGCGGGATTGGTGAAAAGTGCCTAGCCTACGTGACACTGCTGGCGGACCCAGTAGGCTAGCCCAACCCAGATCCCAGAGCCTGACGGTGGCCTGGAGAGGCAGGCCCCGCATAGGCTGCCTGGTCTGGAACTTCCTGGTGTGCTGCAGTGGGCGGGAACACCTAACCGGCGCAATTCAATCAGGCTGTGGCTGACAGGGAGGAAAGCTGGGCCTCCTATATAAGCTTGCATATATAAGGAACAGAGAATATGGGAAGAGGCAGCAACAAGAAAGGCTCCTCGGCCCCCAATTCTGAGAAACAGGTAATAGCGGACACCGCACCAATAGACATAAAGCGCCATCTAGAGAGCCTCATAGACCAGTTCAGGAATGAAGTTATCAATGACCTGAAGCTAGAAGTAAGCAGAATAGTTAGAGAAATGCTAAGCACCACCCAAGAAAAAACAGATGGTGGAATGGAAGAACAGAAAAAGAGGGAAGAATTGTTTGATGGAGAAAACAGAGAAAGTATAGAATACGTGAAGCAGGTTCAAAGGGACTACCAAGAAACTAAAAAGTCTATCGAAAACTGGCATAACAGCTTGAAAGAAACTAAGGACAGACTATCTGAACTGGGGGGCAGATTTGTAATATGGAAGAATGAAATGAAAAACTTCTTAAAAATAACAAAGAAACAAACAGGAATAATACAAAGACAGGAAGATGATAAGAGGATCCATAACTTAAGAATTAAGAACATAAAAGAAGAAGTAGGGACACAAACAAATGAACTGCAAAAGCTACTCACAGAAATAATCCAGGAGAATTTTCCTAATTTAGCAAAAGGTAAAGATACTCAGATGTATGAGGCATACAGGACCCCAGCTACCTACAACCCAAACAGAGCAACACCCAGGCATATAATAATAAAAATTCCAGAAATCCAATACAAGAACAAAATATTAAAAGCTGTCAGAGACAAGAAACAGACCACTTACAAGGGAACACCCATCAGAATTACAGCAGATTTCTCTGCACAAACCATCAAATCACGAAGAGCGTGGGGGGAAATAATTCAAGCTTTGAAAGACAATAATCTCCAACCAAGATTGAGATATCCTGCACAACTGTCCCTGGAAATTGATGGAAAAACAAGGTGCTTCCAGGATAAAGAGGAACTGGGGGAATTTGCAACCACCAATTCAACTCTACAGAGTATTGCAGGATATTCTAAAAAAAGAAAAATACAAAGAATCCAGAAATAGTTGCAGGGAGGCCACAACGAATGGAGCAGAGAACAAAATGAAGAAGACAAACAAACAGCTACTGACAGAAAAAGAGCTCAACAGAAATGCGGCAGAGAAGATTGGATGATAGGAACAGCTATTTTGGAGAAAATGACATCTTAATAGGTAATACTGATTTAGTATCATCTTGTTTTGAAGTCTCATCAAGCTTTTGTTCTTCTGTCTCCATTGGTCTAAATAGGTTGTATCTTATTGGATTTTATTATGTACGATAGTATAAGCAAAAACCTTTTAAAGACAAGGAGATTATACAGAAACCATTGTTCATTTTCGGTTAGTCGATTTTAAACACCCTGTAATGCTGTCATTCTCTTAAATGGTTTTACATTGTTTTGATATATTTAATGCTACAGTATACGAAGTTGTACTCAAGGATTTCAAGGAAAGAGACAATATGGTAACTATTTTTATGTCAGGATTATCTGGTGGTGAAACACTATTCTGCTTAAATGGTTATGTTTTGATCTGTGCTGTTTTGCTGTTACGCCCTCTTTTATCTCAATCTCCACTCCATTATTTACTTTTTTATTTTTATCCTTTTATTTAAGGGAAAAATAAATAAAAATAGCAGGATATATTATAGTAACCCACTTTGACTTTCCATTATCTCGATTTAAAGCCCTGTATTACTCTCACCATCTTGTTTTTGACTGATGTTCCCCTATTCTGTTTTGCTGGATCGTATCAGGTTCGAAAGTTTAGGCAACAGCTGTGAAGATAATGAGATTCATTATGACGCCCATTCTCATTGACTTTTATCTACCTTTGAAGACCTACAATGTCTCCAATGTTTTGGTTTTGTCGGTTTTGTTCTTTACTGTTTTGTTCAATTTTATTATAACTAATGATATAGGCAATTCTATTAGAGATAGCGGGAGGCATTATGGTAACCATTGTTGATCACCTTGTATTATGTTTTTACATTATCTATTATGTCCACCCTTTTGATTTGACTGACTCTGTTCTGTTATGTCACATTTGGTTTTACTCTCTTCCAAAAAAGAAACAAGAATCGTGGGAGCAATAAAACCCAAAACGTGTAATAGTCATTGTACAAAAGAGAGGAAAAGAAAGTGCTCTAAACTATATAACTGCATGTATATTTAAGTGTATAAGATAGAAAATGATATCACTGAGTTTTATTGGATCATTGAACAGAACTGTTGGCAGTAACATTGTTGGAATGTCCACTTTACAAGCTTTAATTTTGTGACTTGAACAATCATTTCTAAGATGACAATATGTAATCCATTAACTAGTGATTTCCTACTATTTATTTTTTTTTCTGTAAACCTGTGTAATTTGTACCCTTTCTCTGCTTTTTTTTTTCCTCCTTAAATAAAATTAAAAAAAAAAAAAAAAGGCTGTGACCACCTGAGGAGATTGGAGGATGTCTCAGGAAGTCTTCCGTTTGTGTTCTGCATCTTCTGGTGGTACTGGGACTGAGCTGAAGGCTGATTTGAATTATTAAGTTGAACAAGATGTGTAACGTTGCTGATGAGATATTCTTTGATATTCTTTGTTCTTTGACAGAACTCATTTACATGTCCTGTGTAATGTGTAAGTTCAATGTAAGTTCAAAGCTGATAAAACACTTAAACTAAATGGTGTTCTAATCAATTTTACATTATTGAGCGATGAACAATTGGATTAATCTATAAATATATAGAAGAGATAATGTTAACATTAGTAACAAGAAATAATTCTACAAGAGTGTTTGTTTGGTGTTTGTTTTATGATGGTATTTAAGTACTTGTACAGAAATGCATATTTGCATCAACAAAATTCTGTTTGATGTGGGGGTTTTGTTTGTTTTTTATTTATTTTTAAGTAGTGTTTTAAATAGTGTTTTGAGACAGGGTCTTAAAATCATTGTAGTCCAGGTTAACTTCAAACTCACATAGTAGCCCAAGCTGGCCTCAAGCTCACAGCAATCTCCCCACCTCAGCCTTGAGTTGTGGTGACTCAGGGTGAAGATACAGTAAAATATTTGGGAGCATTCTCCAATTTTTTGAAACACCTCAAACACCTTTATTGTGGAATAATATTCAAAGACAGCATGGGACATACTGTATTCCCACTCAGGTGCTTTAGAATTCAGCAAAGGGATGTTGGAAAGCAAATAGGAGCGTGTGTCCACTCTATTATAGCTGTGCAGGCTTAGCAGAGTTTCAGCAGGTGGCACTGTCTGCTACATCAGAACTGGTGACAGTTGACTTTATAGGGTAGAAGTGATGAGTTCAGTGTTCATAATTTGATGTTAAAGACCAGGTTGGCCTAAAATGAATGGATTGACACAGTGATTTTACTTTTGATAAAGGAGAAATAGGATATATCCAAGAGGAAAGGATTTACAAGCTTGTCTTTTGGCGTGAGCTTAGAAGAAATTTTTCCTTTTTTTTTTTTCTTTTTAAGATAGAGCAAAATAAACTAGTACAAGAAAATGAGGTTTTAATATGGGTACTCTAGAAAACAGAATGGACACTGAGTGAAACTGTGTGTTTCCAGAGGTGATTAGGGGAGCTTCTGGTGTTTCTTAGGTGTGAAATGTTCAGTGTATGTGTTTAATAGTCTCAAGATAGATTTGAACTCACAGAGGGAGTCTAGTCTGTGGAGTATCTGCCCAGCACAAGTAATTGTTAAATCATGATTCCTAGAAAAGAAAACCAAGGCCAGATGTCATCGTACACACCTAAAATGCCACTAGTTAGGAGGCTGAAGCAGGAGGACTGCAAATTCAAGTCCAGCCTGGGCAACTTAGTGAGACTCTGTGTCAGAATAAAAATATCAGACTGGGAGCACAACTCAGCACTTTGTGAGCTCAACCCCAGTACTGCACAAAGTAAAACAAAGCAAAACACCTGGAGGGAGCAGGTACATGTGTGCTGGCACATGTGCATGTGCACCCCCCCCCCCCCGCGCCTTTCCCCTGTCCCCCGTGGTTAGTGGGGACTGGAGGCTAAGTGGTAGGGCCAGCGAGGGGAGAAAAGGCATTGCCTACCTGTGTGCCAAGCGGTGCTCTTTGATCTGCACTGTGTTGTGTGCTTTGCTTTGCTGTTTTTGTAGAACAAAATAAATCAATCCTTTTATTTTCATCCTTGGCCTTGCCGTGAGTAGCCATGTGATAGCGATGTTGGCTCTTCACAATGGTAAACTAAGAGACACGGTTAGGCCGTCATCCTGAGGATTACCACTTACTGCCTATGGTGTATGTGCTCAAAATTGACTGGCTTTGTGGCTGTCATCATAGAAGCAGAGTCCCTCAAAAGAATCTTAACACTTTTTCAGCATTTGATTGTGAAATCAGCAAGATGAGGTTTCGTGCTTGTGGGATGATGGCATGGCTTACTCTGAGGGTTTAGGGGAGTGGCTCTATGTGGTGTTGGAAGGGGCCGGGAAAGCACACCTGCTGGTGAGCTGGCGCAGCGTGTCTGTGTCAGGCAGGGTGCTGTGCAGGAGCCGTCCTTGTTTGACCTTCATATCTGTTGGTGTCTGACAACCAGAACAGCAGGTCTGTGTTTCACACTCCTGAGTACCACCCACCCAGGAGAAAAGGGCAGGAGTCTTACTTGATGATATTTAAACTAATTCTGGTTTTCACCTGGGTTTGTTTTCGCGTTAGGATAATAACGTAGCAGATAGCTATTCTTAGTTTTCACGACGAAATCAGAAGACAGTGAGTAAAAGGCGTGACCACTACCTTGAGTGTGACTCGTTCCCTCCTATCAGCTTCTCAAACTTTTTTTCCTCCAGGTCAACAGATGAGACATTCAGCTTGGCTGAAGAGGCCTGCAGTTCTAATCCAGTCATGGTTAGGAGGAAGAAAATCGCCATAAGCATCATCTTTTCCCTCTGCGAGAAAGATGAAGCACAGCGGAATTTCCAGGACTTCTTTTTTTCTCATTTTCCCCTGTTTGAATCTCACATGAACAGGCTGAAGGGTGCAATTGAAAAGGTAATAGATGATCATCCAGTGTCAACAGAGACCGACCGTGGGGTGGGATGGGGCCCTGGTGTAGGTGTCAGGTCTCTTTCCTAAGTGAGTTGCTGATGCACTTAGAAATGCTGTGTTAGATGCCATGCACTGGGTGCTTTGGGAAAGGCGACCACTGCCTTCTGATGACTATTTTCAGTTCATTATAATTTTATTGAGGAAGGCTAGTGGGCAAGTTATAAAGGAGTTTTTTTTTGTTTCAGAAAGTAACTTGACATGCTTTCTTTTCCATGGAGGCCATGATCTCCTGTAGGAAGATCGCAGAATCAGGTCTCCGTGTCCAGTTCTATGTCAGCCGCTTAATGGAAGCCCTGGGAGAATTCAGGTAATGTTCAGAGTTGGGCGAACCCATTGGGGCTTTTAGCAACAGTGGCAGCGATAGCAGCAGGAGTAGCAGGAGCCTTGCATCCCTGGGATTAGAGCTAACAAGGGCAGTCCCCCCTTCAAGATGGCTACGCACCAAATGGAGTGAAAAATAAACCCCGTGTTAAGCAGCCCTCACTGCTGCCTACAGAGGGTCCTTGGCATGGGGAAAATGTGTATTCAGGTGCGTCTTTTAAGTCCACTCTTTAAGCCCAAAGGGTAAGCATGACTGCCCCATCTCACAGAGGTAGACCCTGGGTTCAGAGGCACTTTGTCAGAGCATGGAGGGTGCCTGCATCAGGAAACCCTGCTTTCCACTTAGTGTTTCCCAAAGTCTATCAGGCGACCATACTCCAGAAGTGGTTTCTAGAGTCACTGGTGGGCCGGTGACAGCTCTGGGCAGTGAGGATCCCTCCCACCGTGCTGAGCTGGCCCCGATGCTCAAAGCCAGTCTCTCTACAGGGAGTGGCATCCCACTCTACGTGGTCGTGAGGTAAGGAGTGGCACTGTTACTGCACAGCCCGGGGATGGAGTGCTGTAATTCATAGAAGGTTAGATCATTTGCATGGTGCTGAGAAGCTATATAATGTCATTGGGAACAAAGTCATACCCTATTGAGCTCCAGTCATACTTAAAGTACTCAGTTCAGGTATTGGGCATTGTCTGATGACTGGGACTTCAGTCGTGCACAGGAGGAGCATGTGGAGCTGTGCCTTGTGATGCGCATACCTTCTGTGGCTGCGCTGGGCCTGCGCTGGCTCCTGCTTGTGGGCCTGGCTGGTAGTTTAATGGAAATGTTAGATTTTCAGAGGCCAAAAACTGCAAGTAGAGAACCAGGAAGCTTCTGTATATACACAGGACAACCAGTGCCTCCAGAAATGGTGATGGGTACTGGGTTCCAGTGCTGTCTTCCATAGCTTGCCATCACTACCTAACTCTGAGATACTGTACTTTTTTGCCATGGTGGAATTCTGTTGTATCCCAGTCCTTTCCAGCTCATAGTTAGAAAATTTCCATTTATCTTGATTTGTGAAATGTGAATGTGTGTTAAATTCAGAGGTGCATTGCTTTTTACTCGGAGGAAATTCTAAGTAAGTTAGTATACACTGACTTACTTTACTTTTGAAAGACACCCAAATCCCGTAATTAGAAATAGAGCTATATGTGCCAGGCCTTGAGAGCTGAGTTCTCACCCTGACCTTGCCATTGTCTTAGGATAGTAACCCAGTCTCTCTAGGCCTCTGTGGGACAAATTAGCTTATAGTCTAGTGCAGAGGAAGTGAACCTATGGGACATGTGCTGAGTGGATCTTTGTATTGTTGGAAGCTCTAAAATATTCACCAACACTGGTTTTGAGTGCAGTGAGAAATAGCCAGTTGCGTAGGTTTTTCCTCTAAGATGAATAGGGCGCTTGGCTTAGAGAACCAAAGCGTTAACCAGAACTGGACAGTTGGGTGGCCTCTGGTCCTGTTTTACATGCAGCAGTTGCTTTCTTGCTCTCTCTATTTCCTTACTGTAGTAGAAGTGGTATGTGGCAATTTTTATGGCTTTATGAATAGGTTAAGAAAGTAAATTAAAGCCAGGTATGTTGGCACACACTTGTAATCTCGATATTCTGGGAGGTTTCAGGCAGGGGGAATCACAAGTTTGAGCCCAGCCTGCGCAGTGGAGCAACTCAGCAACAACTTGTCTCAAAAACTGAAAAAGGGCTGAGGGTGCAGTTCAGTGTAAAGGCCCTGGGTCCAAAGCCCAGTACTGCAAAAATCAATCACTCAATCAATCTAAAATGTTTTTAAATGGCTGTAGATTCTGACCCAGGGCATTGTGAAAATGCACTCTCTTTTGGATTAAGGCTTTGCACGTGGGCTGGCAAACACACCTATTCTGTCAGGCTGCCTGTCACAGCCACTCACCTTTGTCATTGCTCTGCTGAATCAGCTGCAGGCAGGGCAGTGCTTGAGCGAGGTACTCGTGTCCCAGGAGAATGTCATGCACAGAAACTGCTGTGATCACGTTGGAAAGGGGGGGAACAGTTTGCCAAGCCCTGTGGTGTGCACTACTTGGAGCCCTTTGGGGCTATGTAGATCCACCTTAGTCATCTTCATCCTTCTCTACCAAGGCTGTTCTGAGCTGTATGACGGTGTCATGGGCCCTGTCTCTTTCCTTCTCTCCTGCAGAGGGACCATCTGGAATTTATACTCTGTCCCAAGGATAGTGGAACCAGTGTGGCTCACCATGATGTCAAGCACTTTGGAAAAAACCCAGGTCTGCCAGCGCTTCCTCAAAGAGTTTACTCTTCTAATAGAGCACATCAACAAAAACCAGTAAGTCCTGACCCGAGGTCACAGGGGCCCTGGGGAGCCCGTGCCTCCCTATCGTGGCTAATGTGGCTGTTTCTTCCATCTCTCCAAGGTTTTTCGCTGCTTTGCTGACTGCAGTGCTGACCTACCACCTGGCCTGGGTGCCGACCGTCATGCCCGTCGACCACCCCCCGGCGAGAGGCTTCTCCGAGAAGCGAGCTTCGCAGTCAGTGAGCATGCTGGCCAAGACACACCCATACAACCCTCTCTGGGCACAGCTGGGTCAGTGCCTTTCTGACTCTGGGGGCTGTGAGTGTTGGGGCACCGTGGGGAACGCTAGGAGTTAGCACTTAGGCTGCTGTGCAGCCCGTTAACTCGGGCTGTCAGATGCTGGCAGCAGCCTGTCCTGTGCTAACAGTCAGAGGCCTGGGGATGGGCAGAAGGCAGTGCAGCAAACCTTGGTTGAGAATTCATGCTCTGAGGAGGGGCTTGCATAGGAGGAGAGGAGGCAGAGCAGACACTAAGGAGCCTGAGTATACACTGCGCGGTTCATGGGGTCTGAGGTTTGGCTTTCTCTGCATCCTAGAAGTGAGTGGCCGCACAGATTTCCTCATAGCTCATGTGTGCTTCCAAGCAGGGCAGGAGGCTGCGGTTTGAGCCTGCCGCCCTTGCAGCCACTGTCAGTCCATATAGATGAGAGCTGTGGCAAAATAAGATGCATGTGTGTCCGTGTGTGTTTGTCTCAGACCTATGCCGCCACTGGGAGTTGAGTGACACAAGGCACACAGCCTTGGGGAGCTCACGGTTGCACAGACATGGTGGATCCTTGTTCCCTTGAGCTCAGGGCAGCCTGGCTGCTGCTGAACATGTGTGGAGGGTTCAGGAGAGAGGGGAATGATAGGGAGGGTGCAGGATAAGGCCCCCCAACCCAAAATGCACGCTCCAGGTCTTGGGTTTAGACCTGGGCCACATGTGGGCAGATTGTGCTCACACCAGCCCTTGCCTGCTTCCACCTGGCAGTATAGTGGTGGCAGGACTTTCTGCAGAGCTCTGAGGCACAGAGAAGGCCTGGGTATAGATCTGTGAAGCCCAGGGTGGGTGAGTGGGCAGCTTCTGTGTTGGACAGGATGTGTGGCCTTCTTTCCTTTTCATGAAGTGTAAGGAATCACGAGAAGCAGGAAGAGGTAAGCTGCTTGGAATATGCCACTGCTGCTGGTATAACAGTCCAGTTTCCAAAGTAATAGAACGGCCAGGCGTAGTGGCACACACCTGTAACCCTGGCACCTGGGAGGCCATAGCAGGAAGTCAGCCTGGGCTACAATGTGAGTTCAAGACCAGCCTTACCTATGTAGTGAAACCCTGTCTCAAAAACAAAACAAACAAACAAACAAAAACTCCAAATTGATAGAACAATTCCATCTTGATTTATATTTCGAAGACTTGTCTGGGAGGTGCTAGGGACAGCACCACAGGGCACATCTGGCCTCTGCTTCTCCACACCTGGGAGTAGGGAGGAAGCCAAAACAGCATCTTTGGGTGCACTCCAGAGCTGGTGGCACAGGGCCCTGTGACACTGCTCTGCCACCCAATGCACCCAGGCGAGGTTGGCCACGGAGCATAATGCGAGGAGGCAGGCAGACCCTGGAAACCTGAAGATCTTCCAAAGAGGGCCAGAACAGCTGAGTTCAATACACAGGAGTAAAAATAAACCTGAAATTTCATTTTTACCCAAGTTGCATTTTTTTCAGGATATGGTAAGACTGTAAATCAGTTAAAAGAATAAAACCTCACCATAATGGTATATATATGTATGTATGTGTGTGTGTGTGTGTGTGTGTGTGTGTGTGTGTATAGTTTCATTTATATATATATATAGTTTCATTTTGCCTTTTGAGGCAGGGTCTAGTAGTTCAGGCTGTGTCGCCCAGGCTGGCCTGGGAGGATGTTTCCTGTTCCTGCTCTCTGCCCTCGGAGGTGCTCGGCACACCCTGGGGAGCTCTGTCTGGAGGATGCGCTTCCGCACGGCTCTCTGGGGAGGGAGCTTTCTGAGGTTCTCATGACATTTTCTCAGCCGTCCTCTGGTGACATTATTTGGACTGCTCCAGATCCTTGGTGAGTGTCATCATGTTGTCATCTCTCATTTTTAGGGATCTTTTCAGATTCTTACTTCTTCTAGCATTCTGGTTGTTATTTACTGGTTTCTGACTGCAGCCTGGTTATGCAGAGACACTAGATTACTCTTTGAGACAGCTCAGGGCCTTATGGCAGTCAGTGGGAGTCACCTGACTGAGGCTGCCCACCATGGCGTCAGCGTGCACAGAATGTGGCCTGATAACTGCATCACTGCTCACATTATTGTGGCACTGGTGGGGACTCAGTGGTGCGTTCTCCTTGGTCTTCCTCCTGCACACTCCATGTGGGGTTTATGGTCCCGGGCCATTGGTAACCAGCCTAGCAGGTGGTGACCTAAGAGGACACTGTCCCATGCATTTCATGTGAAGTGAAATTTCGGATTCATTGTTCATGACTCAGTGATCTTTATTGTTGTTCATGAATGCCTCTGCTTGAGTTGTATGTGCACAGAGAAAATTCTGCACAGACCACCTTACTGAGTTGTGGGGGTTTTTTTGGTACCAGGGATCGAACTCATGAACTCATGCTTGCAAGGCAGGACCTTATGCTGCTGAGTTAAATCTCTGGGCCTTTACTGGGTACTTTAAACTGATACACCACACATCAGTTTTGAAAGGCTTGGACTTGCACCCCCAGACTCCTCATGCTGGGATTCTCCTAATGGCTTTTTCTGGCTTCTAGGATGCTGCATTCATCTGATGGCCTATACAGCACCCTCCCTGGCCAGGGCAAAGTGACAGCAGGGTTGCTTCTGAGTTTGGTGGCTGTGGAAGGGACTCTGGGTTAGGAATCCATGAGGTCAGTCTCGCTATTGGAAAGACTGACACATACTTGCTTACTAACCTGGGGGCATCTTGGTGTCTGCTTTTGCTCTCTAGGCGACCTCTATGGAGCTATAGGCTCTCCAGTGAGACTGACTCGCACTGTGGTGGTGGGAAAGCAGAAGGATTTGGTCCAGCGTATTCTTTATGTGCTGACCTACTTCCTCCGCTGCTCTGAGCTACAAGAGAACCAGCTGACCTGGACCGGGAAGCACAGAGAAGGAGACCAGGTCATCAACGGCAGCAAGCTCGTTACTGCCTTGGAGAAGGGTGAGGTGGAGGAGTCCGAGTACGTGGTAGTCTCAGTGAGAAATGACCCTGCTCTTGTACCCCCTGTCCTACCATCGATGATGGCAAAGAGAAGAGGTCCTGGTCCCCCCAGGTCAGCATCGACCCCAGATGGCATTGACATGAGATACCTGGCTCCTACACCTGACAGAGAAGGGAGCAGGAGGTCACAGCAGTGCACTGAGGCTTGCAGCACAGGATTCCCAGGGCCAGCACCAGACAGTGCCTGGACCCCACACGGCGCATTTCATGGGGGTAGAGACAGCGAAGAAGCAGTACCCCCAGCTGGCTTCTCAGGACCTCCGTGCTGTGAGGTTCCAGGGGCAGGAAAGAAAATTGACCCCCAGACTGTGCAGGAGGAGATGAAGGAAGAGATGCCTAAGAAACTACGGGAGCCGTCTGCAGCCCAGCCATGCCCTGATAGGCATTCCCGGGAGGAGCCTCCTGCAGAAAAGGTTACTTTCCACATTGGCGGCTCTGTCTCTCCAGAGTCTGACTTCGAGAGCCGCACCAAAAGCATGGATGAGAGGCTTCGGGGCTGCGCACAGCGTTTGGCAGCAGCTGGCACTTCGGAGGCCAGCGCAGCCACCAGTGAGGCCTGGGACGGGCGGGCCTCAGGGTGCATCTCCAGAGCTGACTTTCAGAGGGGCACCTGCTCTCCTTGCTCTGCTTGGGAGAACAGTGAGCCTAGCAGGGGCTGTGCTGAGGACAGAGGTGCCTCTGGGCAGCTCCTGCAAGCCAGTAGCCGTTTGGCACCTCCCTGCCTTGCTACGGGAGTGAGAGTGAAAAGGCTGGAGAAAACTCAGGCTCTGCACCAGAGAGGCGCCAGAGGGCCTGTGCAGTTACCTGCCCTGGATAGCTATGTTCCACAGGACACTGATATCCCCCACGGGGATGCCAACCGGGAGGCCAGCTTCAGGGTTGAAGGAGATCTTCCTAGAAACGAAAGCTCTGACAGTGCTCTTGGAGACAGTGGCGACGAGGCATCTGCATTTGCCATGCTGGGTCCAGGTCCTGGCAGCCACGGGACAGAAGGATCCTTGGAAGTGGAGCTGCCTCTGCCAAGGTAAAGCTGGCCAGCCAGCCAAGCACAGCTGGCCAGGGGTCCCACCAGTCTCGGAGGAGGTGTCCTCTCAACAGTGTGCCGGCTTCCAGCCTGTTCTTTGTCCAGGATGCTCATTGGCTTGGCCAGCTGCACTCTGTGTGGCACGGCTGACATCATGGGGAGCGGAGGGTTGTGGTGGGGGTGGTGACAGGGCCAGGGCACCAAGCTTCTGTCCTTGGTGGAAGCTTCCCAGGTGGTGGATGACACAGGCTCCCCACCTCTCCGTCAGCCAGATGGGTGCCGTTCTGGCTGGCAGGCTCTGGGCAGGGCTCCTGCTCGGGCTTCGTGCTCTTGGCTCCATAGTTGGAGAATCTGGTGGGCATGCAGTGTGAGGTGCAAGAACAAATGAATCAGCTCCAGAGAGGGCTTTCCCATTTTTTAAGAACTCAGGTTTCTTTCCCAGCCTCCTCATCTTCCCACCAGTGATCTTACTGGATCTTATTTGTATCTTTAGGATTTGTGTTCCATTTGTAATGTTATTGGGAAGGGTTTTTTTTAAGTGCACATTTTAATGGGCTGGATATTGCTTTAGGTCTGAGAGCATCAGCAACCCACACATCAGAAACTTCGGCCGCTCGCTTCTGGCGGGTTACTGCCCCGCATACATGCCCGACCTGGTGCTTCACGGAACCAGCAGCGACGAGAAGCTGAGGCAGTGCCTGCTGGCTGACCTCATCCACACAGTGCATGTGAGTGCCCCAGCTGGGAACCTTGGCTGCCACAGCAGCCTGTGAAAGCATTCAGACTAACGACGGGCATCTGGTGAAGGGGTTGTACCTACAGATGTGGGCAAGATCATTAGAACCAGTGGCTGTGAGGTGCCAGGGAGCAGCTATGGGCACAGCTGGGTAAGACAGAGTGTATGGAGGGACAGTGTGCACCGTGGAGGACTGGAACAGGCAGAGTTGTCTGCCTGCCTCTCTCCTGTCCTTTGAGCCCGACCAGAAGCCAGAGGGCAAGGTAGCAGCCCCTCGGTCCAGAGACATCAGCCTCATGGGTCTTGGAGCAGGACTGAGAAGGAGAGGAGCAGCCCAGGGGTAGGTGGGGGTAACCCAGCAAACAAGAAACAGCAGGGTGGCAATAGGCCCAGGCCATCGTGGGGAGGACAAAGAGATACACATGTGGCTTGGTGTTATTGGGTCCTTACAAGTCCCTGGAAGTCATGTGTTTGAACTGACTTGTCACTGAATTCACCTGGGTGGCTGTGTGAAGACTGACAGGTCTTGCTGGAAAGCCCCTGTGGCTCCCATGAAGCACTGTGCTGCTGTCTGCCGTGCAACAGGAACTGAGCAGTCACAGAAACTGTTAGCGCAGTGGGCCTGTGCTCCCCAGGCTGCTGCTGGGCAGAGACATCGGTTTGTGTTTTGTGAACAGGGAGTGTCCTCGTTGCAGTAGGGAAATTGGAGTTCGGCCTCCCTCCAGCAACAGCTCTGTTGTTTTTTGGCAAGGTGGGATAGAAGACTTTGCATGGTTTGTTGTTTTTTGCCCTTGAGCATGTTCTCTGTGCAGACTAAACACACGTCAGACAGAGGCCAAGCAGCTGAGCTATGGCGTGAAGTGGAAAGCTGGTGTCCTCATCCCCTGCCCCATGAGGAGGTAGAGAGGAGGCCAGCAGCTCATACTGGGGATGCCAGCAGTGCCAGGCCAGTAGAGCAGGTGACCCGACATCCCTGGCCTGCTACGTGGTTGGGTACTCTGTCTTCCTCAGGAGCATGTGACAGCCTGCTTTGGTGTCAGCGCCCTCCTCGTCCTTGGAGGTAGCCTCAGGGGTGTGCAGCACCAGGCAGCTTTGTGGACTGTACCTCCTCGTTCAGCAGTCACTGCAGTGGTGAATGGGGAACTGGCTTCTCTCCGCTCCCCTGTCTTTTCTCATTTTAGACAATGTTTTGCTTTGTAGTCCAGGCTGGCCTTGAACTTGCAGTAATTCTTCTGCCTCAGCCTCTTGAGTGCTGGGATGGCCACTCCTGGCTTATTTCCTTTTCTTTTAACACTTTGTGTCTGTATCGCAGCAGGTGAGACCTGTGGATGTTTCCCTGCACTGCTGTCTGTGTTGCTCACTGGGCCTCTCTTCCAGGAGCCGTGTCTGCTGTGCCTGTGAGTAGGTGTCGCTGTCCTAGTACCCACGGGGCTTCTGGCTGGGGATTTGCCCCGAGGCCCTGCGCCCGCTGACTGATCGTAAGGGAACTGTAACCTTGGGGCTGGTAGTCCGCCTCGGACTCACTGTGAGCACCCAGGATAATCTTGCATTTTCTGTGACTGGCAAGTCCCAGTATCTCAGTGTTAGATTTTCACTGTGACCTTCTGCCTCTTTAATTCTTAGACTGGAAAAAGCCATTCCTCCTGAAGCTTTTCCTTATTGTATTCTCCCCTTTTTAGAAATGTGTTTTGTCACTGTACTATTTCTCATTTCTTTAAACTATGCAGTCACCCTGAGAAATTGAAAGTTAGTAAGCATAATAGCCTATATGTCAAACTGTGGATACATCCAAAGTGCAGCCATGCCTGGGTGTAGCAGGAAATTGTGAAGGGCTCATAAAAATGAAGTTGAATACATTCAGCATATATCCAGTTAGCTTCTGTGGGTTTCTGATTTCACTTGGCACGTTCATTAGCACCTCAGTGAAGTTTGCTTTTGAAGTAGTACTCCATGGAGACTGCCTCTTAGACTGCACTCTGGTCTGGAGCAAGTTTTTTTTTTTTTTTTTTTTTTTCCAGAAAAAACTTTCTTTTTAGCTTTCATTTACAAATATTTGTTGGAAATAAATTAGGTTTTTTAAAAACAGTCTGTTGAACTTAACTGCTTCATAAAGTGTAGTGATTATTTTAATTTTTGAGACTGTCGCCAGAGAAGGACGCAGAGATCCAAGAACAAGTACATGGCCAGAGTTGGCACTGTGGAGTAGCTGGTGGCAAGGGAGAGGTGGTCTCAGTCGTGTCTGTCTTCTGGCTTTCAGCATCCATCTTTTGGGTGTGAATGGTGTTCAGTGTTTGTGCCAGACTCTATCAGGCTTTGGTATTCGTCATTTTCTTTGAGAGGGATTTTTAGTGACCATTTCAAAGCTATGGATCTGGGTTATTGGCTTGTTTTCCAGCCTTTCCTGACTTGGTTTGTGAGCTCTGGTGTCTGCAGCGTGCATGTCATAGCCCCAGGGACGGGTTAGAGTCCTTCTCTGAGTTGGGGCTTCATTTCCAGAGCCTCTAGTGCTGAGAGTGTCTCTTTGTACTTTTTTCATTTCTCTCCATTTTTTACTGCTTTTTACGTGTGAAGATTCAGTTCTTTAAATGTTTGAACATGTGTTCTTGTTTAGTGTGTATGCTCCCTTTCTGTTATCTGGACTGTTCCCTGCTTCCTAACATGTAGGCTATATAGCCGCCTTCAGTTAGTCCAGAGAATATTGTTTCCTATTTTTCTGCCCCATCTAAACATGCATTACCTCCTTTCGACTTGGGATGAGATCTACGGGGGCACTCACAGCCTGCACAGCCAGTGGCACCTGGCTGGTAATCCCACTGGCCTTCATCTCCAGGGCCCCCTCTGCAGGTCAGCATCACTGACCTGCGGAGCAGAGCAGGACAGTGAAACACCAGTGCTGAGGCAGGCTGGTGGTTGGATTCGAGTCCTGTTACTGCCACCAGGTCTCTGATACACTTTAATAAATTGACTAGCATCCCACCTCGAACATTGTCTTACTTTTCTCTCATTGCTGGAACAAAATAAAGAGAGGGAGATTTATTTAGCTCACAGTTTGCAGAGGTTTCAGTTCTGGCTCCAAGGTAGGGTGGCTCAGTAGAGGGGCATCCTAGAGGAGAAACAGTCCATGGTGGCAGAAGGCGGCAAAAGCAAGCAAGCAGAGGGAGACAAGACTCTTTCAGCCCCTTCTGTTGCATGCAGGGTACCTGTGCTAGGGCAGGTGAAACTCTTAATCCCAGCCAGAACTGTGCCAAACCAATCAGGGGACTGATATACCTATCACACACTCTTCATCCCAGCATCACACACCGTGGACCCAGCCCCCTCTGAAAAAGCCCCATGATTACACGACCCAAACCTAATGTTTGGAATGGGTGAGGAATGGGTGAAATACAGGCCACTGGTTAAGAGCTGACTTCTGAAGATGTGAGATGTCGTTCACTCCAGGGGTTTTGTGGCTTGGGGGCAAGTTCTTTAATTTCCTAATCTGTAAAATGAACAGTACAGATTTGGTTTGAGAGTTCTGTGAGCTAATTCACATCAAATGTTTAGCATAGTGCCTGGCACATTACTGAATGCCCAGTAAATGTGAGCTGTTGATACATGTGAAAGTGCTTACTTAGTAAATAATAAAGCAGTGCAGTGAGTTCTTAACATGGAAAGCAAAATGACGACCACTACGTGAGTAACAGTGAAGTTGCCATCAGGGTTTAGAGGGTCCTAACAGATGCCTTAACGCTGACCTGGCTGATGGTTGCCGTGTCCCACCTGGGAAACCCACGGGAGATGCCAGATAGACGTGGACTGGGACTTGCTTGCTGGCTCAGGGCTGAACCATCCGCTCTGCCTCTGCTGGAGGTGCTGGACTTGGGGGGCAGCTCAGCCCCTGTGGTGTAGGGTTGTTGGGGCCAAAATTAGTGCCACATTTAACATTTTCTTTTTTAAAAACTATGCTTCAGGGCTTCAGGCATTTTTACAGAATAGTCTATAAAATGAAGTAACAGTTGGATACAGCATTTAATTTTAAAAGTGACAACAGATTGGCTCCAGAAATACCATGCGGGAATCAGTAGTGAGATAAGGAGCTTAGCTAAAAGCCTGGCTGTCATGTATGTTCATGAATACCTAATTAATCCAGGCAGGGTAATCAACCAGCAAGACTACAAAAGTACAGCAAGTTCTGTCAGAGGGTAACACTGATAACACTGAGGTGGCAGCAGCCACAAGGCAGTGAGACAGTGAGAGGGTGGGACACATTAGTTGCCTGAACCTAATGGCTCCTGATGCCAGGGTCTGGGTACTCTTTCCTGGCTGTGTTCCTGGTGCAGCACCATCTTGGGTGGGGAGCTGCCCATGGAGGTTTCTGGAAGTACCTGATTTGACCTGCAGCTGGGTTTTGATAACCAGCTTTTTTAAAATGGTACAGCATGGAGCTGAAGTCATCATAGCTAACTAACCAGTATAATTGTTCAGTGGGAGCTTTTATATTGTGTATGCATATGCGTATTCACACATATATACGCCCTTGTGCAAGTCAGATGCCTCTTCTTCCCACCAGGGCTGCAGCTCTTGTGATATAGGAAATGGAGACTGCGTTTGCTTATATTCCCAGTGCCTCCCTAAAAGTACTGACCCGTGTGGTTAACTGTCCCCTACACTGGGTGTAGGTGTGCAAGTTAGTTACTGCAAGTGAAACTGTGATGGGCAGCATCCTGCTTGCCTCTAAAGAGAAACGGCAGATGGTCTTCCTTTGCTAAACAGGAAGAGAGTAATACATTTAGACGTGATGCATGTGGCTCTTTGTGTCCATTTTCTGTATCTAAAGGAGAATAAAAGCTTATTTTAGGTCTGTCATACTTTGTCTTTTACATTGTGTCAGGATTAGACAGATGCCTAATTTTGATGTTTTTTCCAGCGTTGATGTTTTCCAAGTTTTTTCACTACCTGCAATATACTTGGATATCTGTGCCATTTTTTGCAAAAAGCTGTCGGCTATCT